GTCAACTTCAGTGTCATTCTTATAAAATTTAATTATTATAACTTAACTAATTTAATTTTCTTAAATTTAATTATAATTGATAAATTAATAATTATTAATTTATTAATTAAAATAAAAAAGATCCACCGTATCATAAACATATCGTATGCATCTATGTCAAATGAGGTTAAGTCGGCCATATTTTTATTTTGGTATTTTGCTGAGAAGGAAACCGAGTTTTTTAAAAATCACCATACTTATTAGAGTAGGAAAAAAACTTTGGTATTCTTCACACAGGTATACCAGTTTCTTTACTGGAGGGAAAAATTTCCTAGGTGGAAAAAAACTTTTTTTTCAGTGTACAAAAAAAAATCCTTATAAATTTTGCTCTATCTTTCTCCCTCTCTCCAAAATTCAATTTTAAATTCAGAAGTAAAGTTATAGAACTTATCCGTGGATTTAAAAATTTTATTCTGTAAATTTTGAGTTCAAAATTGAAAATTAAAAATTATGAGTTTTTTTTTTTTTTAGGAAATCAAATTTCCTACAAAAAAAGGTCTTTATAAATTTTGCTCTTTCTTCTATACTAATATTATAAAAAGGAAAGATTTTATTGTTTGTTTGTTTGTTTGTTTGTTTGTTTGTTTGCATCGAATAGGTTCCGAAACTACTGAACCATTTTGAAAAATTCTTTCACTGTTGGGAAGCTACACTATCCCCGGGTGACATACACAGTAAAAAATTTGCGTCAATGCCTCAAAAAATTTTGTGTTAAAAATTTTTATGTTAAATATATTTAACACTTTTCTGTGTTAATTTAACACAATAAATGTTAAAATTACACATAAAAGTGTTAAATATTAACACAAAATTTTTTGACGCAATGACGCAAAATTTTTAACTGTGTAGGCTATATTACATCATAATTAAATTAATGTTAAATTTTTGTTAAATACCCGTGCGAAGCCGGGGCGGACTGCTAGTCTTTTATAAGATAATAATTAAATAAGATATTTTATTCCAAAAAATTTGATATTCTCTCTAAATTTTTAAGTAAAAAAAAATTTATAATAATTTTTTTTTAACAGTCCCGAAGTCTACATTAGCAGCGAGCCTAATTTATAACAAAAATGAGTGAAAATAAATGGAGATTCAATGGAGCAGGTGAGAGATCATGTAGTAGATGAAATAAATCGGCGTGCGGTTGGTGCAATTTTTCAGGGTGTTTTTTTATCCGGTCCGTGAGTGGGTTCGGAATGAAGGGTGACAGCAACCACGATTTTTCTTAACCACAAAGAGACTTTTTTTTATTTATATATCTCCACTCCACATATGTGTGTGTAAGGCACATAATAGAAAGTACGCTGAGAAAATAGAAGGGCGGAAAGACGATTGGCCGGCCGGAGAGTCGCGAATAGAGTTCAACAGAAAATACATATATACACTGTACTATGTCGCGTATATATTATACTATACTCTGTATAGTATACAATGTACAGTGAGTGCAAGTTTTGAGCTCTGAGGGTTTCACGATAAATGGCACTCTTGTGTCCTTACGACGGGCGAGATTTCCCTCAGGTTTTCAGGTATACACGTCGACGTACCTATGACGAGTACGTGTGAGTGCAATATCTATCCGATAAGAATAGGGGGAAGACAGACGATGGAAAATAGAATTTATTTAGACATGGAGATAGCACAGGAATATTACATATATATTGGCCAATTGTTTTTACTGTTGAAATAGCAATAATGGTAATAATCACCGGTGTTGGTACACGGATTAGTTTGACGAGCGAAAAGTGTAAATCAGTGTAGCTGCAGTTTGATAAAATCAACCCCTGAAATCACCAGGGAGAGATTTATGATTAGAATAATCCAAATCCTGGGAATAAGTTCAGACATTCTATTCCACCTAGGGTACATATTCAAGGGACTGGACTACTAGACCTTCATTTTCATTTTAAATTATTCTGCACCTTACAATTTAATATTTTTTATTTCTTATTTTGATTTTTAATTTATTTTTACAATAATCTATTTTATTAAGAGAATAAGAAAAATTTTGTGTCCAGGATAGTCATGTGATAAAATTGTTTTTTTTTTTTAGTAAAATTTAGTATCATTGCAAAGGTCTTAATTTAAATTTGTGCCTTTTCAAGGTTTCACATCATTTTTACCAATAGTCAATTTATTATGATAACTATTGAGGCTGCATTCGAAAATGCTCTATTTCTAGATACGTAATTAAGAAATGAGCTAGTATATTGTAAACTATTGACATTTTTAAAGATATAAGCTCACCCCGACATTACGCTCATCGAGACCTTTCATTTGAGTACCCACATCGATTTTTCATATATTTATATATATTATATATATGTATATGTGAAAAATATATCAAAATGCATGTGGGTACTCAAATGAAAGCTCTTGATGAGTGTAACATCGAGATGAGCTTATATCTTTAAAAAAGTCAATATTTAAGTATGCACAGTGCAATTTAGGGGAGGGGGGGGGCAAAATGGGGTACTTAAGCAATCGTTATGATTTTAAGGACTTAAATACGCTGATTTTTCTCGTTTTCAGTCGTAATTAAAGGAAAATAATCAAATTTCAAGTTGCCGTAGAAAAAAAAATTTTTTTTTTTGCGGGCAAAATGGGGTACTCCCTGAAAGAGTGAAAAAAAAATTTCTTCATCCGAAAATGAAATATCGTTAAAAAAATAACATTTTCTTATCGATAAGTCTACGAAAGAACCCAAAGAGAGGAATAAATCACCCAAAAAAGAGACATTGTTAGTTGAAGCAATATATTCCTAACAAAAATTGAGGTAGTAAAAAAAATTTTAAAACTTTGTCGTAATTTTTGACGGGTTTCGTTTGAGTAAAAATAATATCAAGATAAAAAAAAAAGAGTTCTCTTGAGAAAATTCTAGTATTTGGAACTCCCGATGAGAAAAATTTTAGACTCATAGTTCTCACACAATTCAAAGTAATAGCACGAAAAAAAAGATTCGTAATTTTTTTTTGCACTCTTTTTCTTGGTTTTTCAAGTTGAATAATCTTGTAGGCCTGAAGATTTTACTTTTTAAATTATATATCTCACAAGCGCACCAAATGATTTTGAAGCAATTGGCGGCCTCTGACTCAGTTTTCTGAGCATTCATAGTTAAATTATGTCATCAAAAATAATTCGAGAATAAATTCGACGTTATTTGAAAAAGACACTTTTTTAAAATAATTAGTGTACGATTTCTCTTCAACACATCACCCGATTTTGATGCGGTTTGCAGCAGTCAACGTCGTTTTTTAAATTAAAGAACTGTTTAGATTTTGGAATTGATTACTTCTGTTTAAAAGCTGTTAAAAGAAAAAAGTTATTTTAAATTTATGAGGAAGTCTAAGTTTCGCTGAACCTTATTAAACTCCAAAAATAATTTTTATATAAAAAAATTAATTTAATATATCAATTCTATTTTTTATTATTGTAAAAAAAAATCTCATCATTTTTTTGTATTTTCAATATTTAATTTAAGCCAAAATCTCCACTTTAAAATTTGAAAATCCACGGATGTTTTGACTAAAATTTGAGTTTTGAACTTGTAATTGATATTTTGGAAAAAGTAAGAGAGACAGAGCAAAATTGATAAGGACCTTTTTTATTGAAAATTCAATTATCTAAAAAAAAGTATCCTATAATTTTTATGTATTTTTAATATTTTAGCCAAAATCAGCACTTAAAAATTTTAAACTCCACGGATAAATTTTAATTGACTAAAATTTGAGTTTTGAACTTCAAGTTCATATTTTGGAAAAAGTACAAGAGACAGGGCAAAATTAAAGAAGACCTTTTTTGTAGAGAGTAAAATTATCTATAAAAAAGATCTGATATATTTTTTTCATATCTTCAATATTTAACATAATTTAATCAAGAATTTGAAATTGAAAGTGAAAAACAATAATACCTGTCAAATACTGCTCTTACAATTAATTAAATAATTCCGAGTACTATCATCGGGCTGTAAGTCGAAAATAATGAAAGAGATGAAAGGAAAATAAAAATATTATTAATGAAAATATAAGATATTATTCAGGAGATAACATTCCATTAGTTATAACGTAATAACGTTGGATTACTTGAAGATATATGGATTAAATTCATGAGATGATATCAGCTCGTTGAATTAAATACGTTTACGTGCGCGTTACGGAAGTAGTCGAAATACCGTGGGTGCAGCTCTACAGCTTCTGCTCCTGGTTTAGCTATCAACTATCGCGAGCCTGAGAAAACGGTGCAACGAGCCGTTCAGAGGGTGAGCTTCCCTAGACTCTGTATAATATTTCAACTCTCGATGCACTGTCTAGCAATATATACACCCAAATTTATATAAATATAAATTTATATAAATTTCTTCCCCTCCGAGGGACGATAAAACTCTGAGGGTTAAATTTAAATTTTAAACTCGGTTTACAACTTGCACCGTCGTAAAATTCCTCAGATTATTGACTTCAAGCTTCAACTTTTACTAGCTAGCTGCTGTACCGTCAAAATTATTTATTTTTAAATTTTATATTTATGGCTAATTAGCATTTATTGGATTGGACGTTTTGAGCTTCGCTAAATCGATAGATTTAATTAATTTAATTGGAATAATAGCGCGGTATTATATATCATATTATATTCAAGATTCTGGTATTTATTATTATGTAAATTTAATTAAATATTAATTATTAATTATTGACAACGAAAGCTCGGGCTTGCATTGTCGACAAAATGATTAATTACTTTACTCGGGTTTTAATTCACTTTTATTTAAAAAGCCTCCAAGGATAATAATTCATTTTTATATATTTTAATTAATATTATTAAAAATTTTTCGATCGGAAAATTTACATCTACACGGAGAGAAATTTATATGAACCTTTCCAAAAATTATTGCAATGGTTCTTATAATATTATGGGAATGACGCACATAATAATAGAAAAATGTTTATTTTCATAATAATGAAGCAATCACTTTAAAAATCTAAAGTAATTATATATATTTTTTTGCTAATAAATTTTTTTTTTGTAAATAAAAATTGATCTTTCACTAGAGTGAAAAAATTTCTTTTTCATAATTTTTATTCACGTGTGTACTTAATCTTAAATTGTTTATTCTAACTCAGTTATTATTATGTTAGATAATATTAATAATAATAATAAATATTATTTCGATAACTTTTTTATTTATCAATTTATATATATCGACGTTCTAATTAGCAAATTGTCTAACTCCATTTTAGAGAATCTTCCATTTGTACGAAAAAAAACAATTAGTTCAAAATTTATCATCACTTTAAAAAACCATTTAATATCTAATAGAGATATAATATTTTCGCTTAAATCGTTCAAATAATTTATAATTGGACTATTGCTACATCAAAATGTTAAAAAATCACTTTTTAAAAAATAAGGAGTTAGACAAATTGTTAATTAGACCGTCGATATTATAAAAAAAGAATCATTTAATCAAAAAAAAATATATTCAGTTAAAAATAATTAATTATTTATTTTATTTATTTATTTATTATTTCATTTCAATGCCAAGGCAGTATAGCCAGATGGCAAAAGTATACAAAAAGAGTTATAATAAAGTACACGTAAGTCTAATGAAGATATAAAGTTTAGAAAAAATTAGATATCTATTAGTTTAGAAAATATTAGATATAAAAATTGATTATTTTTTATGAAATATTATTTTCTTAATTTGGAATACAAATTTGACAAATAAAACAAAGAAAATAAATTTGAGGATAAAAAATTGAGTATTAAAAATTTTAAAAATTTAACAGTTTAACTCAGTGGTACAAAATATACAAATTATAGAAGATGATAATTTGAGATGATCTAGAACAATAAACTTATGTAAACAGAAATGTGAAAAAGTGTATAAACGGTTTGAAAATTAGGATTTATTTTCTTCTTTAAAAGTTAGAAATTAAGGTTCATTTTCTCGTTCATGTTTCATGAAGAATTCAAAAGTACTGATTTTAAAAGAATTTAAGCTAAGTGAATTTGTGACTTCAAATGGTAAGTCACTCCAAATTCGGATCGCTGAAACTACGAAGGAATGTTCAAAAGTAGTAGTTGAGAAATTGGGCATTTTAAAAGACACATTAATTTGTTTAGCAGCAATTCTTTCCGATCTTCTAATATCTGTAGATTCTTCAATGAAGAGACTTCTAAGGAACTTTGGTTCACCTGATTTCAGAAGCTTGTAGATGAAGCACGCTAACGAGTACATTCGTTTAGATTTAACCGTGAGCCAGTTTAATGAGTGCGTGTAGGGAGTGATATGTTCATCTCGTCTTAAATTAAAGATGAATCTGATGGTGTTGTTTATTAGACGTTGAAGTTTGTAGTCTAGCCTTTTGGATAAGTCAATCAAAACTAAGGAACAGTATTCAACAATTGGAATTATAGTAGTCATGACTAGTAGTTTACGTGTTGAAGTAGAGAGTATGTTTCTTCTGTGTTTTAGACAATTTAATGTACCATAAACTTTACGAGTGATGTAAGGTATAATATTACCATCAATGATAATTTGAGGCAGATCCCAGTTGTTTAGATTTCTTAGTTTTTTATTGCTCCCAAGTATCATAACTTTAGTTTTACTAAAGTTTACTTCAAGACCGACTTCTTTTGCCCAGTCAACTACCGCATTTCCATCAGACATAAGTTTGTTTGCTGCATCATTCATTTGAGAATGCTTAAAATGAATGCTTAATTATATACCACAGTTGTGTGAAAAAAAAATTACTTCAATATTATAGGTATCATCACTATAGGAACCATTCCTATAATATTATAGAAACTATTCGTATATATTATGGAAATCATTCCTATATATTATGGGAATCATGCCGATAATACAGTTATAATTATAGATATCGTTCCTATAATTATAGGAACCATTCCCATAATTATAGTAACATTTCCCAAAAATTATGGGTGCAATTCTCATAATCTAAGTAATCGCTCCTAAAATTTTTTTCAATATTTCATTTATTTAACTGCTTATAAAGCTGTGCTTACAGCAGGTTACAATAATTATATAATAGTGAACTTAGTAAAGTATAACATGAATTTGTCTAATTAGTTACTCTTAAAATCTTACATATTGATTAAATAAATACTAGACTGTACATAAATTTCTTAAATTATTGGGATACTCTTTGGTGCGATGGGTAAGTCACTTATTTTTTTCAATAAGGGTCTTATGTTCTTTATATTTTTAATTCCTTCACCCCAAATTTGATTTTTTTTTTAATTTTAAACTTTTTTACTTGATTTCTTTTTATTCAAAATTCTATTGAAAATATAAGAAATATGAAGAAATCATAAAAAATACTTTTTTATAAAAAATTAAAATTTTTTCAAAAAGGGTCCTATGTTTTTTTATATTTTTAATCCCTTGACCCCAAATTTGATTTAAAATTTTTTTTGGAAAATCTGATTTTACAAATTTTTACTTGATTTCTTCTTATTCAAAATTTTATTGAAAATATGAAAAAATCAGAAGATATTTTTTTGTAGAAAATTAAATTTTCTATAAAAAAGTTTTTTGTGATTTTTTTTTTTTTTTTCAATATTTGACCCAGAGTTCAGCTTTCAAATTTAAAAAAGAAATTTTGATAAAAAAATCAAGATTAACTATAATTTTTTTATCAAAAAATTTTAAAGAAGATTTAAAATAAAAAAAAAAAGTAAAATACTATAAAATTAATTAATTAATGAATTTAAAAGAGACAAGCGACTGCAAATAAAGCAAAAAGGTAAAAATACATAAGAGCAATAAATAAGAAGGTATCTTTGTAAGCTATAGAGGTTCGTGTCATGAATTTATTCCCTTATTCCATTAAATCTAAGGGTATATGTCCAACAGTTTCTTCACTAATACCTCCAGTTCGCCTGGCAGTGGGGCTTGCAGGTTTGCATTGAGTCGACGGAGAATTCAACAAGGCAAAGAGTATACAGGGTGGATTAGAGATACGCGATGGCACTACCGATAGCCGAACAACGTAAATTCATTCCTGCTACACCTCAACCCTCCGATCCAAGATCCTGGAACCCCTGCCACCCTCCACCCACGCCCTAGCTGTGTCAGACACTCAGACATTGGTATTTCAGTCGACAAAGAGACTCTGCAAATACTTTTGAATTTAAATACTATACAAGTCTTAAATCTATTTGGTGTCAAGTGCAAGAATAATAATACCAGTAAATTACATTTTAACAATAACTAAATTATTCTTTTCATTTTTACTCAGAGTTACATTTTTTAACAATTCATTTCTTATTTTCTAAGAGTAAAGTTAAAAAAAAATTTAGAAAATTTTAATCAATTTAAGGGGGGAAATACGTGTAGAAGCTCGTTTTCATGCTGATTTTCACAGTATACGTTAGTATTAACAGTATAAGTTAACAAATAGCGGAGATATCAGCTAATACACATCGTAGGTTGTCATCCGACTTAGCAGTCTGTGTGCAGTATGGAAGCCACAATTTTTATTTGAAATCAATGGCATAGAAAAATTACTTCATTTTAGGTGTATCTTCCACATGAACCTTAATTTTAAAAAAAAAAAGTAAAAATTTGCATTTTTTAGAGGGCTGTGAAATCAAGTCGTGATTTTTTACCACTTTTTCATACATTGTTTATTAAAAAAAAAATAGTTTAAATAAAAATATCGCTTTCGATTGAGGTTCATATTCAAGGTAATTGTATAAAAAAAATTATAAGCCATATCGCAAGATGATTGGTTTAAAACTCTTTGAGCTAGACTGCACATAGATTTGAAAAAACTCGTTTCGAGAAAAACGTGTTTGAAAAAAAAGTTAATGTAAAATAGTATTAAAGTAATTACTAAATCGCTTATAACTTTTGAACGAATAGGAATTTGACTTGAAATTTTAAATCTATATTTTTGAATAGTTTTACAAGCCATTTATAAAAAAAAAAAATTGAATTTTTTTAAGCCTGTACACGTATTTCCCCCCCCCCTTAAGTAAGAACACCACTGTGATGATCCAAAGAAAATATGATTTTGGGGAATTTTTTTGATAGGGAAAATAAAGGAATTTGGGGATCGGATTTTTTTTATTTTACTAAGGGTACATTGAAGATTATTACCCTAAATTTTTATTGAAAAATATTTAATTATTACAAAGTTATTAACGATCTCGTAGAGCACTAGAAAAAAATTACCCCTCTATGGTCGCATCGATAACTCAAAAACGGACCATCTGAAAATAAAAACCCAAATTGTTTTTTAATCATTAAGGATGTAGTTATCGTTGAACGTACGGAATTTAAAAAATTTTGATTTTAAAGATTTTTTTAGCCGGGTTAAAATAAAAAAAAAAAACAGTAAAAATAATGAGAAAATTTTCAATCAGTCGCCATTTTTTTGAAAATTAAAATATTTTCAAAATTCCGTACGTGCAACGATAACTAAATTCTTACCGATTAAAAAGCAATTTGGGTTTGTTATTTTCAGATCATCCGTTTTTGAGTTATTGATGCGACCATAGAGGGGGAAATTTTTTCTAGTACTCTACGAGATTGTTAATAACTTTGTAATAATTAAATATTTTTTAATAAAAATTTAGGGTAATAAACTTTAATGTAAAATACAAAATTAAAAAATAAAAAACATTTTTTTTGAGCTCAAAAATAAATAAAGATTTTATTTTTTAATTTTATAATAAAAAATTTTTGAGCCCGATTATTTTTAATATAAGTTCAAATTTATCGTGAGTGAAAGAGTGGATGGAAAATAAGAAGTAATCCCTTAAGAGCCAGGGCAACCAAGTGTTTTAATATTACATTATTAGAATTTTGGTCGGAGGATTTGGTTGGAAAATTTTTAGTAAATTAATTAAAATTGAAAAATAAAAAATTATTTTAAAATTGTTATTTTAAAGTGATGAATGTTCCTGACGGCTCGCCGATCAATCGAAAATCCGAGCGAAGAAAAAAAATTTGCATTGAAGAAAAAAGTATACGTCAGCTGCTATTGTTCTGAAATTTCACCCCATCACAGAGATAAAGACAAAGATAGAATAGATGCATAGTGATACAATAACACACGTATAACGATGCGTCAAAAACAATGGACACCGTTAACGCGTCTCGTAACCATTTCATTGTCTCGTTGACAATGTACCTCATGGAAATATGCACACTGAGATGACAGAAAAGGCAATATGAGATCGTAACGCCGACAATAAGCTCCCTTTAAATGTTATTAAAAATTCTTCAGCTAAATATTCTTCTTTTTTATTAAATTTTAAGTCACTCATTCGTAAATTAAGTCGAGATTCTACTGTTATGTGGAAGATGGTAATCTCTGTTATTTAAAACATTAAACGCGTGAGATCTTAACGGAAGACATGTTGCTGGTGTATTTCTTATCTCTGACAGTACAGTTACACTGCTCAGGTGATATTTTACGCCCGAGACAAATGAACTTTACTTTGTTTAGAATGTCTAGACATTCACGGACTCCTGCTTGTGACTAACCAACCACAATTTTGTCTTATTGTTTATAAATGTAAACTGATATACTCTGTAAAAGTTTTTTGTGGAAAATTATGATCAAATAATTAATTTTTTATTTTATATTTTTTTAAGGAACTCTCTTATTGGGAGAAAATTTGGCGATTATGCGCCACCTGTCGAAAATTTTTAACACTACTTACTAAAAATTATTTTTGAGCTTATTATATAACATAAATAATTTATCAAAAATTTATGACAATAATGACAACTAGCAACCTTGCAGTCACTATGTGACTGCCATGACTTGTAAACTATAAATAAAGAACATTTTGTTTTATTAAATAATGACTTTTGTTAAATTGCACTGTACTTTCTTAAATATTGACGCTTTTAAGGATATAAGCTCATCCCGATGTTACACTCATCAAGAGCTTTCATTTGAGTACCCACATGCATTTTGATATATTTTTCATATATTCATATATATATAAATATATAAAATATATGAAAAATTGATGTGGGTACTCAAATGAAAGGTCACGATGAGTGTAATGTCGGGGTGAGCTTATATCTTTAAAAATGTCAATAGTTCACAAGATACAAGGTCATTTTTTAATTATGTGTCTAGAATTGTAGAAATGTAGAAAAAAAATTACAAAAATTTTCAAACGTCGAGTTGGCGTCCAGTCGGTCGAGGAAGAGGAAGGAGCAAGGACAGAGCGGGATAAAGAGAGAGAATTAGGCGAGACAGGACACCGAAATATATTGGCAGAGGGCGAAGGGCTGAAGGGCTGAAGGGCAGAACCAGGGAACGACCGATGCCATTCCCTTTGAGTGTGTGGGAGCAAGTACACCTAAACCTGGAGCTACCCCCACCCCCACCTTCCACCCAGGCACTCTCGGTGGCCCCGATCTGTCGCACAAATCACCGCTGTGCCAGGCTGCCGTGAACACCATCGCCGACCTCTCTCGTGTAACTTCCAGTTGGATTCGCCTCCGCTATTTCCCATCCTTTATATATAATATATAATACGTTATGCCGTGCATACATGTACCGATTGGCCCGTAAGCTTTTAATTATCGCGTTAATAGTATAATATCGTTAATCATTTCATTTTCATTTTCATTTTCGTTCAATTACCAGTCATTTGTATTATTTTTGTTATTATTTTCATTATTACCATTGAACCCTTTCCGGGCTTATTAATTAGCGGTGATGATTACATTTATATTTGTCAACAGATTTTTCGGCTAATTGACCTGCTTTTTTATTTTGATTTATTATTCGAAAATTTATATCACATTTTTATTCGCTTAAATCATAAATGCAATTTTTCACGTGCATTATTTTTGAAAAACATATTAATTTTCATATAAATTTGTTTTTATTAAAAGAATAAATTATTGATATTGAAAGTTGGCAAAGTCACAGATGTTTACCTCTTTGTAATTTTTGGAAATTTTCCAAATTTTTTCCACATATGAACAGATATATTTAACATAAATGCATATCAAAAAATATTCCTTTATGTTTTCAATGAATTTTTATTATTAAATTATTTTTTTAATTCTAAAGAGAATTTTTTAAAATTTTTATAAAAATTACATTCCTAAAAAAATTCCTTAGTATAAATTATAAATAAAAAAAAATTATCAATTTATAATTGGAATAAAAAATTCAATATTTTAACTGCAATTTTTTTTTGCAGTATAAAGTGGCTATTTTTAAAATTAATACTAAAAATAATTATAATTTGATCAATTCTATTTAATTTTAGCAATACCCTTATGAAAAAAAAATATATATATAAAATATAGGGTAAATGTACCAGTTGTTGACCGGTCACCAATTAGTTGACCGATGTATAAAAAAGTTAATTAATTAATATTTTACAAGGGTTTTTTTTTCTTAAAGTATTAAAATAAAAAAATATGGCATTTAATCATCATGATAAAAAATTACGCAATCAATTGCGCAGTGATTATAGCTTTAAAAAAATATTCTAAGTTTGTTTACAACGCAACCAGCCATAAAGCAGTCAAAAATAACTTGCGTACAATTGGAGAGTGAGAGCATTTCATCATTAATTTAGTGATATTTATCGGCATAATATAAAATATTTTAGTTTTATTATGTTAATTAAAGATCAGATTCCAATTTTTTTGAAAAAATAAAGTTAAATTATAAGTTTTAATATTATTTTAAGACCGGTCAACTATTGGATCCATCAGAAGCCCTTTACCCAGTAAAAAATTTATTCGGTCATTTATTAGATCCTCTGATTTTATCACAATCCAATTAATGACCGTATATTTATAATACTAACTTCTTTA